CGGCTTGTATTGTCGATATCATCATCATCGTCGTCGTCGTCGTCGTCGTCATCAAATACGAGTCGTGCAGTTATTTTTTATTTCACACCAGCTCCGTCGTTCTGTCAAAAGAGGCCTACTTTGAATTTATATACCGTGGCGTACGCCCCCCTCGCGCGCACTTCACACCTTCTCGCTTTATCATTTTTCTTTTTTTTTCGCCGCCTTGGGTGCTGTGCGCACCGACGCGTAGATTTTTCGCCTCTGCAGCGCAGTCATGACTCTTCAAGTCGAGCTGCTGATTTTCCGAGCAGCACGATTCTCGTTCTCGCATGTTCGGCGAACCTTCAACTCGACTCGCCGAGCGATTTCTCGCCAAATTTAACTCGAGTTCGCGGGTGTAAAAAGGCGTGTTCGAACATCGGCATCGTCGATGTTGCGCATCGTACGTGCCATGCATTGTATATTGTTCGGCGATGAATTATTCGAGAGAGTCGCATCGATACTTGACGTACATGGAGCCGGCTTCTTATCAGCGACTGCATAATGGCCTTTTTTGGCCCAGTGAAAATTGACTGTGCCATGTATGTCGAAAAAGCGAGCTCGAAGCTCGTACTTTCACCTTTTCTGAAACGAGCTGCATTTTTCAAGCGCACAGCTGAGCTCTGCTCGGTACACATTTACTCGCGAGCGAATTAAGGCGCGCGTTGGGGATTCGATTAGACGCCACTTATCAATATAATTTTATGCCTAGACAGTTGTGCGCGTGCCTGTAATACGCGGTGATAAATAAACGTCGCGTGTTCAAGTTGATTTACAGTTACCGCAGCAGCATCAGCAGCCGATTGGCCAACTCGTGTACCATGGCTTATCGAATATTCAAGTAATTAGCGTCGACTCAGCCACCGTCGCGCCGACCCACGTTTACGTATGTATGCACGATACGATTAGCAACTCGTGTGTATATCGTATAATATATCCGAAAGCTCACCTACTTTTTTAATTTGACGCGACACGAGTTTGGCCCATTGTTCCGCGGAACGCGCGACACAATTTCCTCGATCGTAATCGTCTCGCGCACGGTTGACAGCTCCGTGACTCGGAGCTGGTTACGTTGTCGGGGATTATCGTATCGTATGTAACATGGTAGCCTCACGAAAGACATTGTGATGTGCTTGTTACTCAATTAAGTAATCGATGAACTCGTAATATATATCTCTATATAAGTTGTATTAATGTCGCGCACTGGCCAAGAAGCTTCAATCAGCCTTACTTTGTTCGTAAATATAATATGATTGAAACGATTTTGCGCGCGTACGCCTCGATCGTCCTATTAATAGCACCGTAGTACACACATGCAGGCACTAACGTATCTTCGCAGAATCGAGGCGAATATAAATCACGGCTCGCATGGAGCTCGATGAGTTTCGTCAATTAAGCTGATATTTTTCCTACATCTCCGTTTGTCATACACACTTTCATCGAGCTTGTGCCTTCTTTGCCTATATTTAAATATCGTATTCATGTCACAAGTATCATATGCGCGAAATTTCGAAAGTTCGCGATGTGTTTATGATAATGACGACGTGTTGTCTTCCCGAAATTTGCTATTGACACGCGCGTGCGAAATGTCCGCAGGTCCATGATGTATTTCTGCCTGTAAATATACGCAAGCAGCCGAGCTGACTGGAACGAGATTACCGAAAATCACCTCACACGTTTTGGCATCGGCGTCGTCGTGGTCGTCATGCAACCGAGGTACATCTGCCGCGCACACGTGAAGGAGACTTTTCGCGAGCAAAGATTTCGCAATCGCGTCTGATACGCGCCGTTATAAAATTTCCGCGTATAAAATCGCAGTGCGGCGACGAAGCCCAGGATCGTGAAAACGAGAGGGAGAGCCGCCGCTTGTAGAAAAACGCAACATAATCTTACGCAATTCAGAAAACGTACATATGGACACATTATACGGAAATGATTAATTGCAGCGCGTGTTATTTTGCATTTTTACCTCGCCTCCTTGCTCCGCGAGAGCCGAGAGTCGAGGCAGTTTCCGAATAAATATTATGGCCGCTCGATGTGTTGTACAAGACTCGCGCGGGAAGCCGTACCAGCGTGGCGCGATCCAGCCAAGGAAATCCAGCCGTACACAGCGCGGCTATGTGTATCAGCGGTAGCTCGCTTATATATCTACAATAGCGAGCGAACGCGAAGCCGCCAACGGACACCTGTTGCTCCGCGTCTATACGCCCGTCTATACACCGTCGCAGTTGTTATACGCGCGCGTTATGTATATCGTTGATTATACTACTATAGCCGCGACCCGGCTCGAAATGTTCTGCAACCGATAGCCTAATAAGGCATTGTTGTAGCTGCCCCCGCCCGAGCTCAAAAGCTCCATTCCAATTGCTTTTCTTCGTGACGCGGAAAATTAAAGGCTCGGCGAGCTTTTGTCGTCGCGGCTTGGAGACGCGATGCAGTCCTCGCAGCATATGTATATAAAACGTATACATGATCGGAAGGTCAAAAACCTTGCAACGAGCTCGCGAGCGCATTAGAACGTTCACCTCGCGACGTCGGTAAACAATTTTATTTTTACTCCTTCGAGTGGCGAGATCGATCGATCGACTGGGATTCATAAATTTCCCTTCGCAGCTTTCGCGCCGCATACTTAATGGCCGTCGCGGCGCATGGGGAGGCGAATTTCGCACGTACACGCAGGACAAATAATTCGCGCCGATGCAGTCGCGCGCGCGCCTGCACGCGCGCTCGCACACTCTTTTTCTTCGTTATTTTGCCTTTTTTTCTCTTTGTCTCGCTGAAACATCTAAATTACCACGCAAACAATGTATATCGCGGTGCAATGAATTTTCAAGAGGACAGCGATCCTCCGAGAGAGCGAGAGAGAGCATCGCTTTCAACGCTCTCGCGTGCGTAATGGATATTTAATTGTAATGTCAATACGAGATGCGCTCCAACACGTGCATCGCATTTTTCACTTTTCCGGCGCGAAACACGAGCTTTTAAAGGATGAATGCACTGCCAGACGCTCGTCGATACAATACGTATAAGTAGTCGCGCGAGCCGTGATTAAGGCCCGTCTGCGAGTCTATATATAAAGACGTATAATTTACCTCTTATAAAGTGAGGAAGTATAATAAAACTCGGAGCACGCGTTTGCACGTCCATTTTAAGCCTCGAAATACGTATTCCCATGTGTAAAATCCATTGAAAAGTGCGCAGCTGATATTTTGCGAGCACAATTTATCGTACTCTAATGAGCGTATACACGTTTCGTATTTATAGAGATGAAGCGCGGGGAGGAGTGACAATTTTAAGACAAAATATTAGCAAGACGTTTTTCTTATTTCTTTAAAAAGTTTCGAAACTTGCTTTTGCCAACGTCCCTCTCTCTCTATTACTGCCTGTGTCTGTCTCGGTCTATCTCACACTCGCCCCACGAGTTTTTCTCTCAAGAGCAGTGTAAATTAACGTTATTTAAATATTGGCATATAAATATCCATTTAATGAGACATATAAATTTCGTTCATAATTGAGAGAGAATGCGGGCGCATATAATATTCTAGAGAAAAGGTACGAGGCTTATACACGAGGCGAGCTGCAAACGATTATTACGCGTATCCTTGCGCCTGAGCTATTATCAACACCGCCCAAGAGTCGCACTCGTGCCGCTCGCCGGAGCCGGACAAGGATCATCGCGCATCTCATAGCTGACTCGTCGTCGATAATTAATTCCGCGCGCGCGTGTGCTGCGTGCGTGTCGGATTGAGCTGCTGCAAAAAAATTTCGGAAACGTCGACGCCCCTCTCTCTGGGCTCTCTCGCGCGCGCACGTCCCAGGACCGCAGGCTGTGAGCTGCTATACAAGATGCACGATATAATGAAAGGGTCTCATTTAAAGGCCCAAAATCGAATTCATCGCTCTCGTTCGGATGATTTATGATTATATGTATATTCGGCGTGTAAGTAGGCGCGCGCGCCACGCGTTCTGCGCTGCACACACTCACACACACGCAGCCGTCGTCTTTTTTTCTGCATCATGCCAAGAAGAATTTGCGGGGCCTGCCAGGCTCGCGCGAATAAAAATCACGATACATCGCCTGTGGGCCTATATGCCATGTGTGTGTGTGTGTGTGTGTGCGCGCGTGTGTGTCTCGCTCCATCGTCGACTGATTTCATTTCGTCACTCGCACAGAATCTCGCGACTTTTTATTCTTTCATATATATTATATACCCTTTCGCATTTTTATGGACTCGTAGTTGTTTTTCTTTCGGTTCTGGCCTCGTTAATAAGGTAGTTTTTTGATTGGCTTATCGCGAGATTTACAACTAGCTGCTCGATCCTTGCGATCTCTTGTAGGACGCAAATAAAAACATTTTGTTAAAACGTTGCTGGTAGTCAAAATGGCAATTGTAAAATTAAGAGCGAAAATGAAAAATATCATAAAAACTACATATTTAGTGTCGTGCATAAATAAAACGAGTCGCGCACGCCGCAGTTAAAAGAAACTCTTTCTCGTTTAATTGAACATTAATGTTCGCGCAATAGTCATGAGTAGACTGGCGTTTCAATTTTGTGTAATTAAACGCTAAAACCTGCATGTCGTAGACGTGCGCAAAGTTATATATGCACGCTATATTACGAGGAAAAAAGCTTGCGTACGAAGGTAGGACTTTTTCTCGCTGCGAATGGCAAAAAAATGCCTATTTCCAGTGCCGTCAGACGTCCAGTTTAATATAACAAATCTGACAGACAGTAATGATTTCACAGAAGGCATACATAGTTTTCTCGCAAAAAGATTATCGCGTTAGCTCCGCAGCTGCGGTCAGCCTTTGATGCACTGCGTGCACGCGCGCGCGCGTTCACCTACTAACCGATCAACTGGAAAATTGTCGTATCGCACGCGCGCGCCTTCGGTTCCTCGGAACGGACAATGGACCTTCCGCACGGCACGCTCTATCTAGGTAGAGCATTCGAATTAAAGTACGCAATAAACTCACTCTGGTCAAATCCGGTATCCTCGTGAGGCCGAGCGATTGGAAAATACTGTTCCTCAGATCGTCGATTCTCTGTCGATCGGCCGATCCTGGCGTTGCTGTAGTCGTCGTCGACGCGAGGTCGTCGGCCCCGGCGACGTTCATGATGAGCGGCAGCAGCAGCACTGCGGCGGCCAAGCCGATGCAAAATTTCAACTGACGAGGTTGTTGGGCCAGGGCAGAGACGTGAGTACGGCCGAGCGATGTTGATGATTGCCTCACGCGACAGCCCATAGCCTAATTTTGTTATCACCTTCAATCACTGTTGCAGCTTTATATCAATTATTATATCAATTACGAAACAACTTCGGCGCGCACTCTCGGAAAATTTCGACCCCGTTTACGTGCTAAATTTTTGTTTTCTTATACGCTCGGAGTACTACTAAATTGACACTATATGCAATGCGATCGGTAATATTTCGTTCGACTGTTGTCGTCGGTGGTCGATGGTCGATGAACTGGATTTTCGCAATTCACAATAATTGTCGCGTCTCTTATCACACATTTTTTCCCTCTCTTGGCTTATTCGTGAAAATGTTGTTTTTCTCTCGATTTGTCGCGCACTCTGAACTATGAATTCGTTGGGCAAATAGCGTGGGAGAGCTTGCGATTAGCAGCAACAAAAAGCAAAAAAGGACTTTTCGTTATGTTATATGTATACATCAAGTTGCGGCTCGGGCGAGTGCCGCGTGTAGACTGAATGTTTGCTTGAGTCTCGCGCGCGCGACATCGGTACATATACTATACACTCCACGCTCACGTACACAAATGTATGGATATATATGTATATAAATATACGTATATGAACGCGCGAGCCGAAGTCAGCTCTGGCGCTTCGCTCGTATCATCGTCCCTCTCTTTTTCTCAATCTGACGCCGCTCGTTGCCACTGCTGCTGCTGCTTCTGTTGCTTTTTTTATACGTGTGTACTCTATCAAGTAAATGCATAACTCCTTACCCTCATTCCTTCCTCTTGCAGTGCGGCTTTTATACGTGAGAAAAAAAAAAGAAAGTAATGACTATAGGCGCATGCGTAAACCAACCCCTTTCACGTGTACCTTGGTAATAAGCTTGGCTGCTTTCTCTCTTTCTCTCCTTCTCTCGTTTTTGCCTAGGTATGTATACGCGTATTGAGAGCAACTATACATTCAACCAGCCACACTCACACACTCACGCGCGCAGAGCACGAGCTCCATAAGGCTGTACGCGGTAGCAGTGGAAGAGAGAGAGAGAGCTTTAAAGCTCGACCGTAGCCAACGCGCGAGCGAGCGCCGGAGTGTGGATTTACCTGTGAATGCCGAGTAAAAACGAGCCAGATAGGGATGAATGACTTTTGTCGCGCTCGCGCGAATGGGGACGTGCTTGCTGAAGGAGCGTCGTCGTCGCCGCTCCGTAAGCAGAAGAGCGTGGGTTTTTCTCGCAACTGCACAGGTCGCTTTTATTTATTTTTTTTTATTCTTTTTTGTCCGCTTCTCGCGCTCACAATGGCCATTCGAAATCGTCTTTGGGGCTCGCTTCCGCGATAAGCCTCGCTCGCGCTGCACACACGCACACAAGCTCGCGCTCACGCACAACAGAAATGTACTCGTACTCTTGCGAGCTTACTATTGTGCATGATGTACGTACAGTCCAAGTTTCTTGAACTCCGCGCGGGTGCCGTACTCATGTACACACATACACGCGTACGCGGCTCTATCCAGTTGCACAGCGCTTGCACAGATTGGCTTACAATAAGTCGATTACGTTCTGTGGCATATACAGCTTGCACATAGATATAGGTATCGTGCACATGTGCGACCGCGTGTATCTATAAATGACGCGCCACCACTACCGCCGCTGCTCACGTACGAATGGTCAAAAGTGACGTATCGCTGAAATACGCTCGGATCGCGCGGGCCACCGCCAGGAGATAGGAATAGACTCGCGAGTGCGCTACGTGAACAATTGGAATCCGTAAACACGGCGAGATCGCACGCAAAATAACTATTAAAAATTACGCTATAACGCCTTAATTTATGTTTAGCGCGCGCCGCGTCTCCGCGTGTACAGCCGTAGAAAGGCTAAAAAAAGATCGATTCGCAGCGCGCGCCGACTCGTATTACTCATCGTTCGATCTCTCCCTCGCCTGGCGCGTAGATGCATCCCAAGACTCGACGCGTCAAGTATAATAGAGGCACCGCTGCGCGCTGCATCGCACGTGCGAAAAGTACATCGCATGATGCCGCGCCACCCTGCGCGACGTGATTTATCATTAACTTGCACAAGCTCGAGAATTATGCAGATATTGTTCGATTAATTAAAGTTTATAGGACAGGCGTTTGTGAAATCAAAAATGAATTATAAGCCGGCGCGCGCGCGGGCGCATTATACACTTGGGGCTTTTGAAGTGTCGAGCGAGGCCCGAAATAAATTACCAAACTTGGCTGCGTAAACAGCTCTCCTCGGTGCGCAAAAAGCAAAGCCTGGAGCTCGTGAGCCTTTTGCGCGCGCGCCTTTTGTGCGCAGTTCAATTAACTTTTGTGTCCCGTTCATGTATATATACCTCGTTGGAAGGCGAGACTTTCTAGGAAGATCCTTACATTATACGCACATACGCGCGTATAAATGCTCCGAAGTGAAAAGGTTGAAGTTCGCGGGAAAAGGCGTTGGGTGTTCTTTTTCTCGAAAGCTCAGCCTTGTTCGCGAAAATCTACGTTATATATGTATCGCTGATGTTTTGTCGTCTTACGCTACGCGCGTGCCTACGTGCAAAAAGTAAAGGATAAATTGCGCGTAGAAACGAGCGCACCTTTGGAGGCGCGTTGAAAGAACCGGTATATTATTATTGTAACGAAATGATATAGCGCTTTAACACACATTTTATTCTTTGTCTTCTCGCGCGCGCGCGTGAAAATTAATAAATGATAAATCAGCAGAGGGAAAAGGCCTCGTTTCGCGCATACGTGATCCTACGATACATTTGCATTTGTATTGTATTTTTAAGGGGTCAGTAGCTACTATTCCAAAGTAGAGCTGCAATGCGGCAGTTTTTATGCTACATTATATAGCCGGCGAGACTCTGTGCTATAGCTGTCCCAAATGCTTGGATCCCGATAAGTAGGAGGCCGAGAGCCATAAAAAATTCCCAACATTTTCCAAATGCTCGACCGTGTATAATACACGCCACTTGTTGTACGTTTCAATTAAAAGCTGTGCCTCTCGTCTCGTTGCCGCGCGTATACATTATATTATTTACGCGCGGCCGTCGTTCGTTCGTTATACCTCTTGTGTATACAGCGCCGCACACTTGCATATATACAGCGTATATAACGCATTCCGTGTACCGCCGATCACGCAGTAACTTTTGCATGTGTATACGCGTACTTACATAAACATATTACGGCGAATCCCGTGTTTCGCGACTCGCGCGAAGGCGCCCGCGTAATACCTACGTAGTATAAAATATAAAACGAAGCGAAAAAAAGGCAACACGATCGCGATGTGTATGTAGGTACGACTCTCGGCAGCTCTGCGCGCCTACATACCCACCTATACCTACGTTACAGCGATATAATGCACGTGCGGTGTATTCGTTGTCTATTATACATGCACGACCTGTACGTACGGTAAACAAACATCGGAGTATATAAGTTTTTTCGAGAGCTGCTGATCGGCGGCGTAATTCATGTGGCTTTATTATTACATACATTCGATATTGCAGTACAATACAGGTTTCGGCCGATCGGCCAGAAGGAGCTGGCAAGATATCCCGAAAGGTTATCGGCTCTTTCCTCTGTGCTCTGTTGTGAATATATTTGAGAATGTACAATACTTACACACGCACTCGTGCGTACGCGTGTACGAGCGAGGCATGTGCGCAGCTCGATTACTTCATTGTGCCAAGGTTACATACATGCACAGGCAAAAGTTGTGCGCGTGTGTGTGTGCGCGCGCGCGAGATCACCGTCGAGTTTAATTATTCGCTTCGACCATTGTATACGTACCCACACGTACACGCAGCAGACACTGAAAATGATGTTGGGTGGTCCAGGAGGAGCATGGACGGAGGATGCCGAGAGGTAGAGGGGTAAAGGTGCAGAGAGCTGGCTTCGGCCCGTCATCGCCGTCGGCGCGACTCGCTCGTATATATAGCATACCTTGCGTACAGGCTCGCGCGGCACGTATAGGCACCGAGCCGGCTCTCGAGCCTGCAGTTCCCGAGTCCCTAAGACTCTATGTGTTCGAGTCGTGCGAGTTATGGCGCCGCCGCTGTCCGCTCGAGAGTAGTCATTTCGACTTTTTATTATTCGCTTAAAAAATCAAAAAGCCTTGAGTCAGTCGAGCAACTTCTAAATTTAGAAGATTTGCTTATCTCTTGTCATTTGGCTTGGCTTTAACAGCTAGCGCGCACCTCGTAATTTAATAGAACCGCCGAGGAACTATGTCGAGTCGTTTGAGCAGCCGCGTGTGTGCGCGCGCAAAGCCAATTCCCGATGATACACGAGATTCCCGAGGAGAAGACCACTTTATACATTATTTTCCATTCCAAACGGAGTCGTAAACTAAGAGTACTTTAAAAGCAGAATCAGACTCGTGTGTATGGAAAACCGTGAATAATTCATGGTTGAGGGGGCAATTGACACAATTTTAACCGCGAGTGTGTCTAACTCTAACGAATAAGCTTTTGCGAGCGTACTAGCCGTGATCGATCCCTTGAAAAGTTTTTTTTTTTTCGAGAGCTCGACTCTTAGCGATCGTATTCGCGAACGCAAGCCTTCTTTGACAAAGATTTTTTTTGATACATTTTTTTGAATTTTCACACAGAAGCATTATGACTTTTTCAAGAGTACAACTCCTGATACGTTACACGAATAAAAGCTAGCATATCGAAGCAATTCGCAAGTAAATAACATCAATTCATGCGTGCAAAGCGTAAAAATTAATAATTAAATAATTCTGTGATCGCTAAGAATCGTCAGCAATAAATATTAAAATTTCATAACTGGCGCTATCGGTAGCCTACAATCACCGCCTCTTGCGACAATGGTAAATAAATTGTTATCATTTCTAAATTGCCGCGGGATAAAAATTTTTTCGCGCTAGATCGTTAAAACAATTATCTCGTTATCACTGCTCCAGATCTCTCAATTGCCATTACACGGACCGCGCTGGCATTTTTCCTCGACAAATCGATTTCGATATTTTTTCGCTCGTTCTGCATTGCGTTTGCATACGCGATACGCGTGAGAGTACAAATTTCATGCGTAAATCGGCTTTGCTCAAAATTTTCTTCGGAGAATTCATATTTACGTCGTGTCCAACCCCTTCACAGATAGAATTTTATGTTCTTAATCGTGTTATCACTAGGGATGAAAGCGTTATCCTGCAACTCCCACGCGGCAACGTCATAATGAATCTAGCGAAGGATACCGAGCCATGACGATTTTCTGAGAAACGTCATCGATGAATGATCGATGCACCAAGTATTTCCGGATGACTAACTTTGAGCCAGTAATTTTAAATCTTCTATATCTTATTATTGAAAGGACTTTGTTGAGATTTGTTTGGAAAAGGATCGAATTGGGGGAACAGAATGTGCTTCGTTGTGCTTAATTAACTATTAGACAAACCATCCATTGATAGCTTATTTTGGGTATAGCTTGAGTTTAATGAACTGCAATTAGCCGTTCGTTGTTATTTATGGCTCAAATGGAAATAGTACCTGATAAATAATGCAGGTTCGTGTAATCATAATCGCAGTAAACACAGAAATATTAGCAGGAAAGTGTAATCTTGAACATATTTATCGAATAGCTGTTTGAGGATATTTAATGAAAATAGCGACGTTACAGAGCGCGTAATATATTATTTAAAAATAAAAATACTCCTCGTCAAGGATACAAACAGATTATGTAGTAGTCGGAAAAATAATTTTCCTATTAGTTTTATTTCTGAAAGTGTGCTCATATGATAATAAATTTGTAACTACCCTCGCTTGAGCTGTCAGTACACATTTCAATTATTAAAAAAAAAAAAAAAACAATAACAACTAAAGCTCAAGTACATAATATCGGCTGGTACCAAGAACCACCCGCGATCCTACTTATACGCTCATCCGCCAAGTTTACATTTGCACGTTTATCTAACTGCATATACTTTCAACAATGTATGGATTACGTACCACACGAATCGATTGTAGACAGCGTATAGGCACAATATATAAGCTATTTATTCTCTCTCGCTAACGCAACACAACGAGCGAGCTTATTCTTCGTAATTCTTCTATGTTGTACGCTCGCGGGACTATTGCGTGGGTACAAGCTCGATGGGCAGAGGCACGCGATAACACTTGTACACGCACGTAATACAGCATTAGTTTGCGTTAAGGTCCGGGAATCAATTGATACAGTAATTTCTAGGTAAATTTACCTGTTTTGCGTGGGGCATTTTTTATTCCCATAAATACTTGTGTGCGTCGTGTATTGATTAAAAATGCATCGCGTATCCTTGAAATCTCTCACGGTGATGAGTGTGACGAATAATCGTACACGTATATAGAGGTAGAATGTTTAATCAAGCAATATGGGCTACGCAGGGAATCCCTCGTATTATGCGCGATCTTAATTTCAAGTCGTTGTTTCGCCGACTTGCAGCGACTCGAAGCTCCTCGTGTATGGGTACGCGTGCTTGCGTGCACTTGTTTGCGAAACTCAAGTGGATACGCAGTTTGGCATATGACGAGGGAAATCCCCAGAGGGTGTGTTATTGTGAGAAAAGACTCGATGCGCGGAGGGCTTTGCACACATAACTGTTTACATCTCGTAAATTGTTTACTTGTGAAGCTGAACGGTTTTTTTCAAGTGCGCAGGATACCTTTGGGTTTGTTTTTGTGTAGATAGACTAATATGCGCAGTTCTTCCGGGTTCACCTTTGCTATTGAGCTTGGAACCAATTGGAGCTTTATTGAATTGTCAGCAAATATTCAAAACGACGGAGTTTAGCCAAATTATTCATGAAAAAAATGGAAATTTTGAGTTTATTGTTATAATTTCTGGAGTTTACAAGAATGAGCACATGATTGGGTTTTATTGTACGCCAATGTATTCATGACGAGGTCATTACATAACTCACATGACTAATCTTCTCGGTGGACATTAGCTATTACCATTTGATAAGACAAGGAAATTTTTTATTTCAAATTCGCATCAATGGATACTCGAAAGTGAGTCACTGATGTTCACCTATCGATTGGGCAAGGTGTGAAAAAAGTGCCTCCTTTGATCATGCAGGGGCTCGCTCTTACACACATACACTCACTCAACAGCTTTCATTCAAGCGCGTGAATCACCAGTCGGTATACGTCGGAATCTCTAATCCTCTCGAGTGCATGTCGAGGAATCTCGCTGGCTATAAACAGTTTGTATGCATCTATTTTGTTCTCGACTGTAAAGAATATGATTATGACGTCAGCAATTGATTAATAGTCGTATTCGCGTCATAGATTTCCATTTTTTGCACGAAATTACATTCGATTTGAGAAATCCTCGGAACTCATTACGCCTCACGCACACGAGCTATTTTGGGTTTTATAGTTTGTTTTTAATTTCGCTTAATGATGATCTGTTGTGCTTATTATTAGAAACTACTATTTTAATGTTCGATAAGATAGATGAACGAATATCGATGTATTTGCTACGTTTTTAATGTCCTTATACTTATGATATTTATTTGTCAAAAATTATATTTGATATAAAATACTAGTTATGAATGGTTGAAAAAAGTAATTCTATCAAGAATTGAGCTGAAAGAATGAAAGCTGAAAAATCATAAGGTGCAAAGTAAATTTAGACATATGGTTTACATGATAATGCATTGTAATTTTTTATTAGAACATTTTTAAAATATTTAACATATTGTAATCGGCATTACACGTGATCAAATAATAGGCTTGAGTACAACAAGTCTTTGAGCTACAATCGCATCGGTGAAAGTAAAATAAATGTTGCGAGCTGCCATTGACAAGTCAGGCACATCACTTTGGCGTCGTCGCTTCAAGTGGTGTACCTAATTTAAAGCGCTCTTCTCATTAGTTAAGCTCTCTCTCACTCTTTTTTCTTTCATAACACACTCCGTAGAATGTGTACGTGTAGGGCTCCGCGCACAGCACTCCATTATCCGTTCTTTCTCTTGTTCTGCTCGCGTGCCTCGTACCGTGCACACAAAAAAAAAGAAAAAAAAAGAAATAAAAGGAAGCGACGAGATCAAACGTGTGTATGTGCACATAATATACTGGTGCCTTGCGACGCATGCACTCTCGGGCGTTAAAAGCTTCGAAATATTGTTCTTTCTCACGGGACCCGTTTATTCATTTGAATTTGACCGGCAACGTGTGTCCTCACTGCTACCTCATTCCAGTAGCCGAAAAAGTAAAAAAATCTCGTATCTGCGCGTACGCGTCGCACTACCGAACGCACTCACACACATAATATTGCTACATACGCCAGTAGAGGAAGGGCTTCTCCACGGCCCTATGCAAAATATATACTTTCTGCGTCTTTTTTTCTTCTCTGTCTCTGTCTCTTTCTGTCTCGCGCTCTGTGATCGTTTGTAATATGCGCGACGTATATGTATATGGTATTGACATCGTAAGAATATTGAATATTATGGTGCGTGCGTGAACGTAAGAAAGAAAGAAAGAAAGTTGTAGACACAATCCAGCTAAGGCTTCCTGTCCGTTCTTCCCTTCAACGTCACCGTTGCCGTTGCCGTTGCCGTTTTTTTTCTTATTTCTTGCATTTGTGCCTCTCGTGCATGGTATCTACTGTGCATGCATACATGCATTAAGGCCTGTTATAAAAATGCATACAATAAGAATGTACGCGACACGTTTGGATACATTATAACCCTGAATTGCAAGTGTCGGATAAAAAACAAAGTGACTCGAACCCTTAGTCGGTGAAAATAAAGTTGTATCATTTACGACATTGCCACCGAAGCGTGTAAAATGATTATCCTCGAGACACTTTAAGGATATTAAGGCTTCGTAAATCCTTGCAAAGAATTTTCTCTCGGCCGATCGAATTTTATATAAATAAATTAATGCAGACGTCGATCGCCACCGTCGTCACTTCTTCTGAATCATTTGATGATAAAATTTTTTTCTCGTTTTGAAAGTGTGAAGGAAGCTTTTTTTGCCGATTAAACAACCGAGAGGGTAGCAGTGATGTTTTCGACGTCAATTCTCCATCATCTTAACCATTAGCTTTTTCAGCTGATCGACGTCTTCAGCGTAGATTTTCTTGTAACTCGGCACGGCTACTTTAACACGATCTATCCATTTTACTGTATTTTTGTACTTATCAAGATAAAATCCAAACACCTGTGAGCAAAAGCGATTATTCGAGGCAAAAATTCACTGCGCATATTTGTATTGATTGGTTTTACCTCGGCAGTTGTTACAGAAATTATGACTGTAAAATCAGCAATAGTTAAATTACGACCAGCCACGAAATCTTGTCCATCCAAGATTTGTTCTAATATAGAAAATGATTCTTTCAGCTTCTCATATTTTTCCGGTGAATGACTTTCTTCCTGTTTTGTTAAAACTGGAAACTAAAATTGATAATTGAGCCATTAGATAAAATGTAATAAATAAGGCACACTCTCGTGCAGATCAAGCTTGTTAAATTTAAAATGATATCATCGGTGACTTTTAAAAAAAGAGAAAAAAATTGTTCTCAATAATGTGATAAATACTTTGAAGTGAATATTAATCATTATGAATCGTTAAATTATAGATTATAAGGATTGAAGACAAACTTAGTTATGAAAACAATGTGTTTTTGTTAAATGCGATTGATCATTATAAATATCCAGATTTTTCCAGTCATAGACTGTTCATTATAAGTGAAGTTTAACCATGAAATTGACATAATTACTGTGTTATTTAATTTAAAAATTTTTAAAAAAATATAAAAAACATTTGTGCTTACGTAGTACGAAGATATTGACTTATAAAGATTTCCCATATCAAAATTCATTGCTTGATTAACCAGTGCCCGTCCCATTGGATCTATTGGTAGTAATCTTGAATTTTTGCCATATTTTTCTACTAAGTAAATCATAATTGCTCGGCTAAAATCAGAAAATTAATGTCAGAATAAGCTGATCTAGTTACAGACATTGTATAGAATTAATCCCTTGAGTCCGTGGGAGAACCAGCGTTTATACACGTTCCTAATATAGAAAAAAAATATAAATCCCATGCACTGAGGTGACTTCCGAGTCAAGCGTGTCTGTGAGATGAGAAATGAATTGACAAGTATTATACCGATAAGAATGTAGTGGTCTCGTGAGTTAATAATATAGACGACTGACGCGTTTGAGCGTGAAAAAGTGCGAAAAAGTCTGCAAACCCGGAGAATGCTGACGGAAGATAAAGACAATTATGGTCTTTTTTTAGTCTGGCGAGAGCAATAATAACAAGGAAGTGCGTATTTGCAAGATAATAATTTAGTCTCGTTAGTAATATAAGAATCAGTGTGATCAATGACTTGTATACTAGCGAATTGATTTTCATTCAGCTAAACATATTTGTTTGGAAACTTATGTTCAGAAAAAAATTTCCTTGTTTTTCTTTTGGTTTTTCATAGCTTTTACCACTTTTGTTTGAGCTAAATTATAAGCTTAGTTTGCCATGTTTTCATTTTTTTTAAATTTGAATTTATACCATAAAAAAGTCATTTAAAGAATGTTTAAAATTCACTAGATAAAAAATGAAAAGCGTGACGACATCTAGGAACAGAATAACTCACAACTGGTTTTCGTATTTCCCCGATCGTTGATAAATGCGGTTTCTACTATTTCACAAAGTATTTACATGAATAAATGACCTACCTTTCACCAAGTTTAAAATCCCCATCAACAATAAATGGTATTTTCCTCTGGGGATTTAACTAAAAAATAAACATGTATAATGAACAAAATGCAACAATAAAATAGAAGAAAAAATAAACGAACCTTTTCGTATTCTTCAGCCAAATGGTCTCCTTTTGTAGTGTAGCAATCTACAAGTTCGTAAGAAACTCCAATATGTTCTGCTGTCAATTTGACAGACTGACTTGGTGGACTATAAGGTGCACAATAAAGCTTAATCATTTTGAAAAGAAAAATAATTTCGGTTTTTCGATGAGGTACTGAAGCTTTTTGTTACGACAACTACGGAATGGTAGAGTAAAGAAGTTGTGATAGACTGTTAGCTTATAGACTTTCTTGTTGTGTTTTGTCTTGTCCACCACTTGACTATATACATTAAAGTCAATAATCCAATGTCACGAAAGTGTATAGATCATTTTATTACAAAATTACTCATATCGACTTGAAGAATTGAATAAGATTAAATAATACAATCTCGTTCTTAAATAAGTAATTTTTTTATTTTGATTCTATATCCACTCAGATTAAAATCAATTGAGTTGAACGTACAATTTATCTCTGAAAATTAACATAATATCAAGGACTAACTTGAGAAATGAAAATAAAAAGGGATAATACAAATGTATTAATGTACTGAATATATGAAAATTGTACTATTCTAAAAGTTGCAACACACAAAAACAATATTCCTACATTGAAAATAATTCTATATTACAGGACATTATTACAGAATTATTTGCTTTTTTCTGCATTAAAAAATGTTGAAGAATCAGCTCAAAAACATGCGAGTTTGCGATCCATTTACGTGGATAACCGTTCACCAGTTTTGCTTCATGTAGGTATATATATTTCGTACAAAGAGAACAGATAGAGGATGAGAGAACGAGAGAGAGAGAGAGTCACGATAGGCACCTCCCAGCTGATGTCGGTACCTCCTATCACTATATCTATATAGGGTGCGCAGTAGAGTCTTGGAGCATGTCTCGGGCCGCGAATGGACGTGGTGTGCACAGCAGCAGCACGAGCTGCGAGAGCCGCCGCGGTGTGCAGAGTCAGCGAAATTGCGCGGCGCACGACTCCACGCAGTGATAGCTGCACGCGACGCCTTCGAAGGTCCAATGGGTTGCGTCGGTACGCGGCGCCGTGGTTCACACCTAACAGGCGAGCATCGCCCGATAGTAGGTAGTTTCTTTTGTGCGCGTACACACTAACGCAGCTATATATTCAAGCTGCACTCACACACGCACGTGTATATATATTTTTGCCTTTTGATACGCCGGCTCGGACTTGTTGCGTTTGCGCATTTACACTGGCGCATGCGACAAGCCGACAACGTACACATTATGAGGCGTTTAGTTTTGCAACGGCTCGGAATGTAAATGCAGCGTTGTACGGGTCGCTCCTGTATCAAAGTAAACGGCAATAATAACAATAATGTACAGGAGAGCCCCTACTTCACTGCATTAACATTTTCAGCTGGTGAAGAATTAACTATATACGTATTCTTTCTTGTGCATACTTGCTTCAACAAACGGAAGTGGCATATTTCCTTGAGCATTAGATTCTGTAAAATAACAAAGGGATTTTGGTTATTCCAAGAGTTGATAATTTCGTTACGACGGAGTAATTATTGTACAATAAATGTGTACTTGGCTTGAAGCTCTCCGAAAATTCGTTCAAGGATTTTCATTATCTAATTTTTTTTAAATTTGAAATGATATTAATTCGTAAAGATTTAAAATTTTAAAATATCTACATTGATTGAAGATAATAATCATATTTCAATTTGAACAATAGTAATTAATACAAATTTATGCAGTTCACGAGAATACTTGTGGTTGAATCTAAACACGCTCAAGTTCGTTTTTCTAATACGCCCCGTCGATGGTAGCGTAAACTGCAGACTAGTGTATATTACTCACTTTTAAAATTGGAAAAGATCTTGTTTGAAATCATTGACATTGTACTTCATTTAATTGAAAAAGAGGCGTTCCTTACGCGCGATCATGGGACTAAGTTCTTAAAGCTCTTACTGGCGAATGTGATCCTGTTGCAGATGTTGTTCGCAGGGGCTCGCCATACCTACCCATTTTCAAGGTTCTTATGATGGCCTTTTGTATTTGTATAATCTAAACATGTGGCTTATATGTACCAGTACTTTATACATGCATATATTTGTATACCCCATATACGCAAAAATGACTTTCGTTCTAAGGGGAGAACAGGATACAGGAATAATAATAAAAGCGAATACGTGTGGAAAGACAACCCATCAAAGAGAAGAGAGAGAGAGAGAGAGAGATGAAGCAACAGAGAATGAAATCAAGCTCCAGACTAACGTGTTGCCCTGATGTCGGTTTCATTCGAAAGATGCCACCCTGGGCCACGCCCCTGGATATTTCCAAAAGCCTGCGTGCTTTAATTCGTGGAAATATGTTGAATATGCGAAACCACGAGTCCTGGCGCATGACGACGCAACATGCGTAAACTGGAACACAGGACTAATGAATGATGCGCTTATACGATCTTCTATTGTATCCTCAAGAAAAATATATAACAATTAATTGTTTCAATACTTTTTTTTATATTTTTGAATTATATAATTCTAAAATATCACTGTCTCATGTTTTGTCATAAGTATTTTGTTTACCGTGGATAGAATAATTGTCACTTGAAACCGCGAACTCCAAAATGATTCAAGCTTTCTACGTTCTTGAGCTCGGACAAATTAGGTATTGATAATCAAGAGTTGGGCAAAAGGTGAAAATTGTGCTCACATCCCGCATGTATATGCCAGAGTATCAGGGAACTACGAAATTATAATCTTTCTCCTCTCACGTTCGCCAGAGCAAAATTCGCGCGGGTTGCCTCGTTCAGCCCCTCCTTTCACCAGGAGCGCAAAGCCTCAAGCAGTCTTCTTTAGTATCTCTCTCTCTTCGTATATATGTATACACTGTACACTTGCAAGTATATATGCAGTGCGCTTATTTGTTGAGCTCAATCTATCGGACAAGGCGAGACGGAGAGCTGTCAATCTCTTGCAGCGGGATGATGTTGGCTCCGGTAGAGTGTCCGTAAGAAAGAGTAACTTTTTGAGCGCTTTTAAACCACGATTGTTAATTAATTTTTTTGCCCATCGAACCGATAGCCTCGTGATTGTTTTGTCAACTTGGAGATAGCTATTGTATGCAAATTTCTCGGTTTCACGTATGATAAATTGTCAAGTTCGGTTGTAGCGCGCGGTAGAATGAAAATTTTGCATGCTTCCTCGATGGAGCGTGCGCTCGTGCAGAGCACAGAGGCAGAGAGCAGCGGCGGCGGCAGCGGCAATGTATACACACGCGCGCGGTGGATAGCGTGCGGCAGCCGTTGCCCGTTGCCGCCACGTCGGCGGCGGCGGCTTACACACATCGCTTGGCGCGCAACGTGTTTCCCCTTAACTTTTAATCACTCTACCGCGATATCTTCCGCCTTATCTGGTAACTCCTTAGCTACCATGTTCTCCATTATGTTTGCCTGATGTGAAACGCCGACTGATTAATCCTAAATGATTACGCCGTGTTAATCATCGAGACGTCTTAGCTCGCGAACAGGTGTGAAAAGTTTGTCATTCCGAGAGATAGTCCACGACGAGTTAGATTCTCGAGAAATTTCATCGAGAACGTGGAAAGCCCAAGGGTGCCTATATTCGCAATATAATGAGAGATAATGACCGATCATTTGCCCGCGATCGTTATAATAATTGCCCCATTCACGCCTCGCCAGAGTGTGATACCACCTGCATGCCATAGACTGTACTATATACCGTTTCATCGCAATAACCGCAGGCCTATATAATTAACTATGTAAGTGGAGAATTCGTATGATCTTTCCGAATTCGTGTGGAAATAAAAGTCATCATTCTAGACTGAAAGATTTCAAAGAGTGCTATTTTCAGACAAATATTCATTCTTTTTTATTCAACTTGTTCGCAACCCAATTGGTTACAGGCAAACGCAGGAAATTGTGATTGTAAATTTTCACTTTCAAAATAATTTAATTTTCATTTATAGCTGATAGTTGAAAATACTCAATATATTTTAAGACAACCAAATGGTTTTCAAAACGTGCGTGAATTTTGAGTGAAAATATGCATTGAATGGTCGATATAATTTTTAAAGAGTCGTATACAAATACTCTTATACACATGTTACTACATGTGACAAGCGCATTAAATTGTATGTTTTTGTGTCTCTTCTCCCCTCTTTTATCCTAATTTTCATGCAGCCCGCTGCGAGAATGGACATAATCAACAATTCAACTGTTTGCGTACCAGGCGAGCATCATGAGGCGTTAGTTCGCCGAGACACGAGCTTGCGTGGAATTCCCCGTGCCACCTCCTGCGACGTTCTATTTTCCGCGGTTCGGAAAGACACAATTTTGAGGAAGAGCCGCACGGGCCCTAAGTGTACGGCTGACGTCGCGACGCCCGATTGGTCCTTGGAGGACCCTTTTCGACTCTCATTGGCTCATCGAATCGCCTGTGCCGCCGAATTTTGGTAGGACCACCATCTAGATAGATACCTATGGGCTAATCAGACTACTCCCGCAGCTCCGACATGCTAGAAAACGTTCAATTTCGATGGAATAACAGCAGAAATCGTCGAGTTTGAGCATCGCTAAGGGACAGTGACACTGTTTTTCCCCAAAAATGACAAAGTGTTGGTTGCATAATAGCTCTCCCAACAGATATTATTGGTATAAAACAATATTTTTTAATTCATTTCGAGCCAAAAGTTCATACACATGGATTCGGCTGCCCGAACACTGTAAATTACAGTTAATAACAAAGCTTATCTAAGGACCTGTATCTTTTATTATGGCTTTCCCCTAAAATTTATTATCCGCATTGACGTCAAGGAGGGGATATTGTATACTTACCGTCTTACTCTACCTTGAGCGCGGTGTATATGTCTTTCAAGTTGCCAAGCTTTACTAAAGACGTGCATTGCTAAGCTCGTACATGTGTAGAGTTGTGTATGTATACATTTGTATGTATGTAGGTGTGCGTGTGTGCATCGAGTATATGCAGCGCCAGACTATAGGCCTCAACGACTACATGGCGACTGCTGTCGAAGAACACAAGGCCAATGATGCTGAATTCATCATTATTCAAAGTCACTGAATTGATACTGCATGCGTTCCTGTTGGAAAAATTCTTCCTTGAATGTCAAAGAGTGATTAAACATTATAGTTTCCGCGTAGCTTTTTGATTTAAAAAAAAACAAGACTGAACAACGCTTTGATAGACATCTTAGTCACACTGCACGCTTGGTAGCAACATCTCCATCATCATGCGCTCCTAGTCCGAGGAGGGGCGCTACGAGACAACCCGCGCGAAACTTGCTGTGGCCGGTTGGTGAACACGAACTTCTTAATTCGTCATACTCTCCAAATATTCGGCTGCTCGCATGCGGGATGTGGGCACGCACTATGTACGTGTTCTAAACTGTAAAGAGCTAAGATTTCTTTGCATATGTGAATGAGTTGTGAGTGGAGTAATGAGACAGGGTACTCTGAATATTTGTTAGATTCTTTTTATTAAATTTCAATAACATTTTATTATTTTACCTTAACTTTATTATTCAGCCTGTGTATAACTTTTAAATTAGCATTTTATATTAGAATATGTCAATTCATTACATGTTTCGACATATCATTATTTTATTTCAACGACTCCGTGGCGCAACGGTAGCGCGTCTGACTCCAGATCAGAAGGTTGCGTGTTCAAATCACGTCGGGGTCAAAACTAACTTTTGCTAGTTTTTTGATTGAAAATATAATTTTAGAAATAGTTGTGTAAAATTTTTAATAATAAAATAAATCCACGAAATATCTAATTTTACTGCAATATTTGAAACATTCATGTTATCAAATTACAAAAATTTACCAGTGTAGCCAATGGAAATATTTAATGTTGATTAGTTAAAAAATGTTATTGTTAGAAAAGTATTTTTTTACATATTATAAAATTTGATTTGTAATCGTATTATATGTAACAAGTTATGAATATTTGAGATTGGAGTTACGAATATTTGCGTCAATCTTGATAGGTTGTGACTCCAATTTGATGATTTTTGGGGCTAAATTTAAGGATTATTCGCTTTTTTTAATCCCTCTTGTAACCATATAACATGATAGTATCGCTATATAAAACCGGAGTCGCGATTGCTCCGGATTTTTGGATTAAAAACTCCGATTTCCAAGTCCTCGGTAGTATAGTGGTCAGTATCCCCGCCTGTCACGCGGGAGACCGGGGTTCGATTCCCCGCCGGGGAGTTTTTTTGCTTCTAAAAAGAAGTTTTTAAGAACAATAAATTGTTAGAAGTTTCTTATAACCTAAACTTATGGTTTTAATGCCTAAAGACATCGAAAAAAGTTTTTGAACGGTTTTTTGCCATTTTATACATACAAAACTCGCAGTAACCCCTATATTTAAATATGTAACTTCAAAGAAAACAAAATTATCTTCAATTCGGTCATCTTAAAAACTTTTTATGATCAATAGAACCGAAGATATGTCGGAAAAACGTTTTGAGGAAAAATCAAGTTAAACAATGATATAAGCTATTTTTTCGCTTTAATTAATACAATTTACACGCCGTATCCATGTTTTTTGTTTGGATTTAACTATCATCTAAGATAGGCCACGAAGCAAACTTATCAGATCTAGATTTAAAAAAATCTTTTGCTAAGTTGTAGCTGTTTATGTAGGTTGCGTATTTTATAGCTATAATTTCAATAATTCGGCTTCGATTTCTCGAAAAATTACCTTTTTCCTTACTTTTTATATCAATCCGGTAGGAGGAATCTATAAGAAAAAAATGTAAGCCTAAGCTTTGAAAAAGTTACCCCAAAAAATTTAACTTAAATTTCAACTTTAGTGACAAATCGTAACAAAAGACGTTTTCATCTTGGATTGTTTGTAGAGCGCGAATACGATATTAAAACACCATAATTTATCATTTTTGAAATTTGTTTATATAATATTTTACTACTTGGAGTTTAAATTGATCGGTATATTTGTGTGAAACAAGTTACAATCGATTGATAACACTACTGCTTGACCATCCATTCTTTATTTCAAACGGAATCTCGCCTGCTCTCGTAATAAATGACTCATATTGCATAATTTTCAATGTTATCCAAAACAACTTTCCTATCAAAATATTTGTAAATTTCAGGATATTTATTTATTTTTATTTTAAATTAAAATAAAACTGAGTAATTTTACTTATTCTACAAATACAATTATAAGATCCTACATACCATCGGCGCCGTGGCTTAGTTGGTTAAAGCGCCTGTCTAGTAAACAGGAGATCGGGAGTTCGAATCTCCCCGGAGCCTCAATGTGGTAAAATTTTTTGTCGTTTTTTAGAACTTCTTTTTGCAAGTTTTTTATAAATGAAATTAAATTTAAATTATATTTTTTGTAAACTAGCTTTATTAAGATGGGTAAAATTGTATTATTTTTATAATTAAGGTTCTCTTGATGACGTTCATCATAACTAGATTTTTCTTACAAAAATTTATTTACTCAAATGTGTTCCAAAATTAATACTCAATTAACAAGATTTAGACATCATATACATACACATATACATAATAAGTGCAAAAATCTTGTACATTTACTTTGGTAGTTAGGGATGTTTTACACAGGTTTTTCATCACTATCACGATAGACAGAACTAAAAAATTTCTTGCTGAACTATGTATATTTTTAAAGCCAAACAATACAACTTATCAATCACTGCTCGGTAATACCTGTATGAATAATAGATTGAAGAACGCGTGTGTTGAGTACCGAATGGCTTTTATTTAATATAGCTGGGTGATGATAATAATAATACTATAGATTTAGCGCATTTAAAATGGTATTTACAAGCTCCTATGTGTTGAAATCATTACAAAAATCATCTTTAACATTAAATATCTCTTTAACTAATTCGTTGAGGGATACATTAAATTATATTAATAGAAAGGTGAGGATTCAAGCTATCCACTGGTATGTTTGCGTAGATAACCAAGATACAGTTGATTCAGGTCGATTTCTGGCCGTACTCCCATAAGAGTCCATATTAACAATGTGACTTTTACATTAATAGTTCTCGAAAGTTGGTTCATCAAACGGGACAAAAATTTCGGGGAAATATCAAGGAAGTCACAAAGAACAACCCTTTAAATTTTAAAAACGATATATTCATTTTCGTTCCATCACCCAACTATCTTCAAAGAATAAAAAAAGAAACATTGTTTCGTGTACTAGTCTAGAAGCCTTACAGGTTCCCGCTTCATAATGAATCCCGTAAGATAAACCTAGGTGTTTTCCTCGTATTTTTTTACCGCTGAACACGAATTTTCGAGGTGGACATCGATCCGAGTGTCAGTATATTTGTTATTAACAATTTAATTGTTTAAACGGCTATAACTCGTAAACGATTGAATATAAATTGAAACAATTTGACGTAATTTTATTCTAAATAAAAAAACAAAGAGATTGAATTATTATAAGTTAAAATCGGTTCATTAGAAAAAAAGTTATGGACAATTTTGTGTTTTTTTTTGCCAAGTCGAACCAAATCTGCTACTTTCGAGTTTTTAAAGATTTTTAATTCGTTATGTATGCACCGGATGAAAAAATGACAAGAGAAACTTTTGGTTTAGGATTGTCCAAGGAGTCGAAAAATATTTTTTATTTTGCAAAATCAACATTTTTTTTGCAATAACAATTATTTGTTCATTTTTTTTATGCAAAAAAATAATCTTTTCCCCGTATTTTTTTCTGCTGAACACGAATTAAGAGGTTGGCAATCGATCCGAGTCGCTGTCCAATTTTTATTAACAATTTATGAAAAATTCAATTAAGAAAAACGTGTTTTTAATTATTAATAAATGAAAAGTTTATGTTATTTTTTACTTTTCCTTAATTGAGTTTTTCATAAATTGTTAATAACAATTGGAACGCGACTCGGATTATGATTATGTACCTACCTCTTAAATTTCAAACCATTGGTTTTCAAAAATTTTATACTACTTCAAAATAACTTATATCGAAGGTTTATACCTTTGCTACTTCGAATTGTATCAATAATAAGTGTTGTGTGACTTATGTGACTTTACGTCCAATAGAATACCGAGATCACGTTGCAGTAGACACTTTTGCTCAGATGTAGTTTTGTGTATGTTCGTGATTTTTCTTCTAATACACTCAAGAACTTAAAAAAAAAAGGAAGTTGAAGTATTCTTGATGAAGTTTTTGGAAGTTTATGCATCGATTTCGTGCAAAGAATTTGTAACACAAAATTACAATTAAATAAAAACCGGAGTTTTTCTGATTTGTTTGACAAAGTATCATCGTAATTAGAATAGCAATTTTTGTGGTAAAAAAAGGCTAATCTTGAAAAATCAGCAAAAATTCAAAGGGGAGGGGGGGGGGGGATTAAAAAGTTTGGTTCTCGTTTTTTTGATCATAATAAGATAGTTATGGATAGTGATATAAGAATCTGAAGTGAGCCATTTCGCAATTATGGAAATAGTAATCTGTCGAATAGTTCAAGCTAGATTTAATCTGAGATTATAACATCGTGTATTTTTCGATATTATATTTTACCTATATTGTATTGATGATCATATTAAGATTTGCAAAAAGAATTCGACGAGGATGGGATTCGAACCCACGCGTGCAGAGCACATTGGATTAGCAGTCCAACGCCTTAACCACTCGGCCACCTCGTCTTCATGTCGGGCAGAGCCAAAATATCACTCAGATCGCAAATTTTTGTCGAAAATGAGGCATATTCATTTTTTCAAATTAAATGTATTTTTTAAAAATGATTAAAAATAACATTTTAAAATTATTATATTAATCATAGACATTATTCATTTTTGCTCGATACAATATCACCTAGTATAATTCATCGTAAGGAATTAGAATTTATAAATAACTGAAACATCTTCTGATTAATCATTTAATCGTAGAAAGAAGAAATTTTGGGTATGAAATTGAACATTTTCTCTACGAAAAGAACAAGCTTATAATTAAAGTATTTCAATTACATCGAGAATAATTCCGTAAACATCGTCTATTATAAGCTTTTATATAAAATAGAAGCGACATCTGTGCCCGGTATCCGGTAGTCATTAAGCAGACGATTGCAGTGTCATGTTATTTTGCTGCAGTAAACACGCATGGTTTTATTTGCTCTTGTTTGATTAGACTCAAGTGATATGTAATTAAATAGGTTCAAGGCTGTGCGTATATCAGTGTAAATAATATCATCATTGTTTATTCTCATTTATTTGAATTTGACGTTGACTATTTATTTTCGAAATTTTTGTGTAAACCAAGTATAAATGATACCGATAATTGCCAAAATGAGACTGTACTTGTAAACTATGTATATGCCTATCGTACTTCCATACTCATAGAAAAAAGATAAGCAAGTACGGTGCATATAATCACTAGAGGGAAACAGAGTGCGTACATACATGCTAGTCAATTGACGGAGTTGAATAACAACCAGTTTGACTTACACAACATTATAAAAGTATGTACAGGCCATCTCGCTGTGTGGTAGCGTGCTTACGTTTTGGTATGCCTCGTCTTAAACACAACGCAACGAAACGTCCCCCGGGATGGACAACTTTCAAGAGCTACTTTATGCTCCGGTTTACAGCGAGAAGACCTGCAAGTTTTTGGAGCAACAGTTTTCGAGGCTTCAAGGTAAATTGCATTTTTTTATGAGGATAATGCATATCGGACAATATCAAATTATATAACTATTGTATCATTAATATCTTGTATCTTATCTCGTAAATAGGCGAATGCTATCTAGATCATGCAGGAGCTACCTTATATGCTGATAATCAAATTAAATTATCATTGAATAATCTGCTTTCCTCACTTTACACCAATCCGCATTCCAGTGGTCTCAATGCAAATCTTACAGAAGAAACCATTGATAACATCAGATATCGGTATGACGTTTCAATAGGTACAAAAATAATTTAATTTTACTCGTACGTTAATGCTAAAAATTATTTTGATTTTTAGGGTATTGGAGCATTTTCATACAACTCAAGATGAGTATAGTATTATTTTTACCTCTGGCGCAACTGCCTCATTAAAGCTTGTGGCTGAGACTTTCAATTTTCATAATGGATGTAATGAAAAGAACGATGGACAATTTGTTCATATTCAGGATAATCATACATCTGTGCTAGGAATGAGAGATCTGGTTGTTCAAAAAGGAGCTAAAGTCACTGCAATCAATTATGATGAGACATTCACAATTCTCGAGTTAAATTGCAATGAGAACCATTCTTTTCAAAATGACAAGGCGAATTCACTTTTCGTTTACTCAGCGCAGTGTAACTTTTCAGGATTCAAATATCCATTGAGCTGGATAAAAAATGTTAAGAATGGGTGTTTAAATTCTTATGTTCAAAGTGATAGCAATTGGTTTGTCATGCTGGATGCAGCTTCTTTTGCGGCAACAAATGATCTTAATCTTTCAGTGTTTAAACCAGATTTTGTCTGTATTTCATTTTATAAAATGTTTGGATATCCTACTGGATTGGGAGCTCTTTTAGTTAGAAACGAAAGTGCAGAAGTACTAAAAAAAGTTTATTATGGAGGAGGAACTGTCGATGTTGTTCTAAGTTCCAAAATGCAACATGTGAAAAAAAATTCATTGCATCAAAGGTAATAATAAAAAAATCTTTACATTAAAAGTGGGAAATTATCAATTTTTTTTATTAGAGAAAACTTGGAACTTACAAATTTTTCATTAAATATACTTCATCAATTCGTTAAAGTTATCGAGAATTCTTTATACTTGAATATTCGAAGTAATTATTTAAATATGTGTAAATAACCGAATGAGAAAAAAATAGAAGAATATTTTAATGGACATGCATAATTTTAACAATTATGAAATTTTAGGTTCGAAGATGGAACAATTTCATTTTTATCTATAGCATCTCTGCAACATGGATTAAAAATTTTATCAGATATAAGCATGTCTCAAATATCTGCACATGTATTTTCGTTAGCCAGATATTTACACCATTCTTTGTTGAGTTTGTATCATCATAATAGACAGCCACTCGTTAAATTATATTGTGATTCAGATTATGAAAATATAAATTTACAAGGTGGAATTATTTCATTTAACGTGTTCAGAGCCAATGGAGAATATGTTGGTTACACAGAAGTTTTAAATATGGCAGCGTTATATAAGATTCATTTGCGTACTGGATGTTTTTGTAATCCTGGAGCCTGTCAAAGGCATTTGCAGTTATCAAATGATGATATTTTAAACAACTACAATTCCGGCTATACTTGTGGAGGTTCAACTGATTTAATTAATGGCTATCCAACGGGAGCTGTACGTGTCTCTTTTGGATACATGTCAACAGAAAAAGATATTCAATCATTATTGCTGATGCTCGTTAAATGTTTCATTAGTGGTCCAGAAATCATAAAATATCCATTATGGAGTTCTGACTTCAAATTAAAGTTAAAGCTCAACTTAGAAAATTTAAAAAGTGTAGTAATTAGTGACGATTATAAAATTAATGATACAGACTCAAAGAATACCAAAATTAATAAATTTATAAAAATTAGAAATGAAACAGTAGAACTGATGAATAACAATACTATTGCATCAAATGTTTATAAAAAAAATCAAACCAGTTTTGAACTATTCAAAGTATTTCTCTATCCTATCAAATCTTGCGGTTCGTATGAAGTTAAAAACTCCTGGAAGTTGACGTCAAAAGGGTTGCAGTATGATAGAGAATGGATGATAGTTACTTCTACCGGTGTTTGTTTAACGCAAAAACAAGAGACAAAACTGTGCATGATTAAACCTATCATAGATTTAAATCGAAATGAATTAGTCTTGCATTATCCAAATATGCCATCAATATGTGTTCCATTAAATATTGCATCTTATGAAATTGTAAATGGTAAACTTTGCAAGGGAAAGATTTGCGGTCACAAGGTGGAAGGTATTGATTGTGGATCTGAAGTTTCAGAATGGTTAAGTTTAGCATTAGGGAGACCTAATCTCAGATTAATACGTCACAGTGAATCTTCAGAAAAAAAGAGTACGTAATAAAATATATATTCATAGATAATTTTCTAATGTTTTATAATGTAAATTTTTGTACACAGAAATAAATAAGCCAGAATTGTCATTTGCTAGTCAGAGCCAATATCTCCTTATAAATTCAGCTAGTATTTCATGGCTTGCAAATGAAATACCTAATGATTTTGATTGTATCAAGGATACAATGTTACCCAGATTTCGCGGTAATTTTGTAATTAAAGGCTGTGCTCCATTTGAAGAAATAAACTGGAAATCTGTTAAAATAGGAAACTGTACGTTCCAGGTAATTTCTAAATATTATATTATTAGTACAAGTGATGATTATTTTTGCATAATTTTGGAATTTCTTTATATTTATTCTCAATAAATATTAAATTAATTGAATTTTTGAAGGTTGAAGGGGTATGTACAAGATGTCAAATGATTTGCATTGATCAAACTACTGGAATTAAAACTGTTGAACCATTAAGAACTTTGGCGGAAAAATTTCATGGAAAACTAAGATTTGGAATTTATTTAGTTAAGAGTGGCATAGAAGATGACTTAAAAATTGGAGACAAAGTTTATTGCAATTAAAATTGAAGTTAAAAATGAATCAGCTAAAAATTGAATATGTAACGATATCTATGACAGATCGTTGTGCTTTGCACAAAAAATACTTTCATGTTCATTTCTAAATTTGATCCAAGTGATGATTATGAGGTATATTATGAATGGTTTGAAGAGAGCTGATATATTCAAAAAAGGTTATTTACTTTTCATTAGTAGTTTTTCTTGATTTCAGTATATTTTCAAAATTCACCAGCTTTGGTTTTGCACTGGATATAGTTTTTTACATGCAGAAGCTCCATCTCAACGAGTTTCGCTCGTGTTAAAATTCGTGACCTTTTACAAAGAACGAGCCTTAATTTTTTAATATTTTCACATTATGGTGTCCTTAGAACTTTCAAATCAGCTAAAAATGAATGATTGTAGAATTAGTTTAAAATATACATATCGAAATATTACGACATTATTTACTCTAAGTAACTGTGATTTGTACAATATTTTACTTTTAATATCAGACTTTAAATCAAAAGTATATTATGCATTTATATTTATATACATTTGTACACTTAAGCGTTAATTATATCTAACACTTTTATTTATTATACACATATTTTATCGTAAATTAAGATTTCAAATGCATAAATTATTTTATTTAACTAGTTGCACACGTAATTGGCTGTTCTTTTTTTATCTTAGTGGGCATTTCTCCTTGTGCAACATGTTGAACTGCTTCTGAGACTGCATTAAAGTCTGGAAAAGCCATTGTTTGCAATTTTGAGTAAACTAACTCATTGTTAATTTGTACTTCAAAAGATGCTAAAAATAAAAGATAAATCTAATTATAGTATCGGATTATTATAAATTTAAAACAATAAATTTTTGAAATATGTATCTACCTTGTCTTCCTTCTTCACCAGTTACTGTAGCTTCGGGCACTGCTTTTTGAATAATTTCGGACATCTCTAAAAATTGTTTAAAATGACCGCATGATCCACTGAAACCATAACAATAAATTGTTACATAACTCAAGAAGTTAATTCAAAGAAAAGAAATAAATTGCCCTACCAATACTCTACATTAACAAGCACTTGAGGCTTTTCCATGGTTAGATATAGAGTTTATATTTCTCGTAAATAGAAAATTATTTGCAGAATACAACAATCGCATAGCAGTATTGTGATCCTATCTAGCAGACAGTTTGCAACGATGGCATTTGTCATCTCGAATCACTTCTAACTAATAAAAAGCGGGAAATTTAAATATCATTGTTATTACTTGTTACTTTTCAAAATATAATACTCTCTTTTGAATTGTAAATATTAAATTATGTGACATTTAGATCATTAGGAAATTTTATTAACATTATTATATCTCGATTAAAATGTTCTCATCTGTCGGTAAAGGTTTACTTACTAGGCAGATAATTTCGCCAAGCTGCAAAGAGATGGCGAGATATGTTGGAAAACACTATTGGAACAAGCAGTGCTATAGGGTACTTGTATTTAGCCTACCCGTTCGCGTATACATTATTTTATCGCCTTTAGCCACGGTAACCGCATGCTGCTGCGTTATCACCACATTTACCGTAGTTCATGCGTCATCGCATTGCCAATAAAGTTTTGGAGCGCTGGACTGTACGGATGAACGATAACTGCAGTACATTTGCTTACGTGCATCGTGATGTATAATTTTTTGGCGTTACACACAATGAACTGAAAAAAAATCAGCTTTGGACAATTGTTTTTTTGTACACGAAAGTCCGCAGCGAGCAACAAACATAAAAAAATGACATAACTCGCTCGATAAATTCCATCAAGCCTCTTCTCCTCGTGCGCGAGAACACTAAACCGATTAAATCGTGTGTCGGCGCGCGCGCTCGTGAGAAAAAAAAGCAACTAAAGCGCGTTAACAGGTGAAATCGCTCCAACTCCGTTGTACATACGTATATAGCTATATATAATAATACTTTACGCGTCGCGTCCGCTTGTTGTTTTTTTTCCTCCTCGGTGCCAGTATTATCGTTGCAGCAGTGCTTGGCGCTCGCGCACACACACGCACCCGTATACACAACGCGGGCGGGCGGGCGAGCGAGAGAGAGAGAGAGAGAGTTATTTTACCCACATAGTTTTCAATTCTCGCGCGTGCTCGTGTAAAGTGTAAAAAGCTCTTCCGAGTGAACGAGAGAAAGGCTCCGAGCGTGTGTGTATTGTGTGTGTATGCACGTGAGAGAGCGAGAGAGAGAGAAAGAGCCGGAGAAATGGATTACGATTATTCGCTGAAGTTTCTCGCACTCGGCAATTCGGCAGTGGGAAAAACGAGCTTTTTGTATCGGTACGCCGAAGCTGGTAGCGGAGTAGCTTTTAATCCGTCCTACCATCCCACTGTTGGTATTGACTTCAAGGAAAAGCTAGTAGTGAGCTTTATTCTTCTTTATATTATTTTTATTTTACTTTACTCCCTCTGTCTCGGATAAAACACGTTTTCTTATCTCCACTTCTTTAATACTAGTCTTATAAAATTAATACAAAAGTAAAGTAGTGAAACACATATTTCTTCTACAAATAAAACTTTAATTGACCGCTGTCAATTTTTATATAAATATATAGGCATTATTGCTATTTTTTTTTTATTATTTCTTACTAAGCACATTAATATGCAGGTGTACGAGCCTCGGGACGGCAAACACATAAAAGTGCTGCTGCAGCTGTGGGATACAGCTGGCCAAGAAAGGTATTAAATAAAGAAACTTCCTTCAAAACTTACTCGTCCGTCTGATTTGCAATTTATTTGAAAAAAATGCGCAGTTTTTATTGGTATAAAATCGATGAGAATCGAACTTTTTGAAAAAGTTTTGACGATATTGAAAATTCACTAATATGTATAAAGTTAGAATCAAACGATGTCGTTATTATTTTTCGTCTATATACGCACCATTATCGTTGACCTCGAAAAAAAGTTCTCTCTCTCTCTTCCACAATCGCTCACCCCTCTTTTCCTCTTCATCACTCGTATCAATTTTTAACGAGTGTCTTTAAGCTGGCGACTATGTTCAGGTTCCGAAGTTTAACGACGACGTTTTACCGAGAATCGATGGGCTTTTTTCTGCTGTTCGACTTGACAAATGAACAGTCCTTTCTCGCTGTAAGAAATTGGTTGGATCAGCTTAGGGTATTGCTCTTTTATCTTAAAATAATAATGAAAAATTGCGTCGACGTACTGTGTTACTCTTCATATATTACCAAAGTAACGAGCCGTGCCGAAAAAATTCTATTTCTCTCTTTTACGAGAGCTGTTTCATATCTCGAGCAATTATGTCGCTTTTAATCTTTATTTCACACGCGGGCATGTTCAGTCTAATAAATGCAATCAAATTTTCGCGCGTCAAAAAAGGAACCAATCTTTCTTTGAGCTTTCAGTTTATTATTAATATTAAAAAAAAAAACGTCATAATAATTTCAATCTCTTCTGTGCTTGAAAATAAAACGAAAAAAATAAAATAAAAATAACACCGAGCTGTGCGCCACGCAGGACAGTATAACGATATAATACAAGATAAAAATGCTAATTACCCGAGTGTGCAATACTGCGTGGCCATGCACACAAAATATGTATATAGGTACACACGACGCGCGCGCATACATACGGCTATGGTCTAAAAAGGCTCGTTGCGGTCGCCTGGGACAATGTGCAATCTCTCTCACGAGGTCGCCGAGCGCGTCGACTTTTTAACGGAGTATTTTGATTGCTCGAGATTCTCTCTGCCTGCGCGGGCCTATATAAATAACGATATTATATATCGGCCTCTGGCGTGGTACACACGTGTTCGCGACCGTACGAGGCCAAAATGTAAACTAATTTCCCATACAGTACGTTCTCGACATTATATTTTATGTGTATTTGTACGCAGTCGCACGCCTACTGCGAGGATCCAGACGTCATTCTATGCGGGAACAAGTCCGATCTCGAGGCTGCGAGAGTTATCAGCGAGAACAATGCGCGCGAGCTCGCCGACAAGTATGGGTAAGCAGATTATATGCACGTAGATTCGGATCCGATCTACGCTCACTTGTAAATTTGATCTGTACTCTAAGATTTTCGAGCTTATCGCGAGACAATATGTTCGATGTGAATAAACACGACTTTTTCCAGTAAGAGTCCGCTGAAAGTCCATTCGCCAAACTGATTAATTTATTGATGTTACGTTTCAACAATATAATCACGCGGATCGAATCGATGCTGCTACGCGTCTCGGTTCACTCGGTCATAGCTGTTCTGTATTGACATATTCCATAGCTGATAAAGCAAATGGAAATAATAGATTATACCACTGCTATCTTTGGTGAGCGGATAGTGTAATTCAAAACACACAATGGAATTTGCACTACTGCACTGTTATAATATTATATGATGTCGAGCGCGTGCGCACACGTGTTCGATTTGTGCATTTAGTAAAAAATTGACATTTGATGATTTCAGCATGGTGTATCTGGAGACAAGTGCGGCCACCGGTCAAAATGTCGAGCGAGCTGTGGATATTTTACTGGATCGAGTGATGCGTCGAATCGATGCGGCCGTTGATCGAGCTCTATTGCCTTACGATAGATCGCCCACTGGCCTCACCAAGGATGACCCTGTCAAGAAGACTACCAAGTCCTCCTGTTACTGCTGACTTTGATAAGAAATATAATCACGTTACGGCCTCGGTCAATTCAATATTTTACACCTCCTTGAAGAACAATGAAACGAAAACAGAAAAAAAATTCGCTAAATATGTTTACGTATAACCGTGTGTTGGAAAAAAAGTCTGATTCGATTGTGGTATACCTGCACGCATGACATGAGCGCTGGATAGTCTATCGAAAGCTGCAGACACACAATTCCACTGTCGCGTCTACGCCAAATCCCGTCACACACTCACATATTACATTGTATTCGCGCGCACTGAAAATTCCACCTATATACGGAAGAAATGCAATATTGATTTTCTATTGCCTTTCAACCGCGCACACCTTGCAGCTAGCTACTACTTGCAGATGTATTATTATGAAATTCAATATAACTACCGTTTTATTGGTAATACTAGAGTTCCGAAGGAAAATATTTTTTTTTTCTTGCACGATAAGCTCGATCGCGAAGGAGTTTAGTTTATTTTAAATTTCATTTCTCTTTGATAAGAGTTTTATTTGCGGTTTATTGGGACTATATGGTCAAAATTGAGATTGGTCAATGAATCAAATTTTTTTCAATCAATGAAAGTTTCACAAATTTTGTTGGTGGAAAAACGTTGATATCAGAACGAGAATTACGCTTTTTAAAAAATGTACTTTACTACTCACATAAATCAAGCTAGCTGATGTATTTGGTCAATTTTAGACAGTAAAATGTAATATCTGAACATACGTCTTTGCATAGTTCGAGGGAGCAAAATAAAAAAAAATATATATAGATAGCAGTATGTAAATTTCGATGGATAAGAGACAATAATCATATCCATACGAACAGCTCGTGGGAATAGAAGCACATACACCATCAATTGTTTCAACCTAGATTGCCGCGTGGACGCATGGGAATGGAATATATACATACATATACGGGCTATATATACACGTAGAAATTGTCTGCCCTTTGGAGCTTTGCAGCGCTTCAAGAGCTGCGGTGAAGAGAGAAACAGCAAGTGCGCGACTGAGAATAGAAAAGAGAAAATGAGGCATGGTTTTTTCATATCTTTGTTACACAAACTGAAATCGATCCTCGGAGGAAAGAACGAGATGTTTATTACGTTCGCAGTTTTTCACTATTTTATTTTATGTGCACATTTCGGTAAGTTTATTTAAATGGATTTTTGCTTAACAGGCCTCGACGCGTGCTTCAATTTGAACTCTTCGTCTATTTTGAATGGGCTCTAGAGTTTCTAGCTTTTTCAACGAAAAAATATTTTTATTATCGGTATTTTAGTGAACATGCATTTTATGCGCTAAACCATTATGTAATTTTGCACGAATTTTGTGTATCTGAGGTTTGGTAACAATAATGGCAACAATATCTACACGAGGTACTACGGCAATGTCATCCGTTGACAACGTTGTCGAGCAAAGATAAGTCGCCACTTGCCAATTATATCTTGTAACGGGTGTTCTACTTTGGCTATTCTTGTATGTGTATATATGTGCATGTACAGTACACATTATTATGTAATGTAATAAACACGTACAAATTAACATGGATAATAGAACAAAAGGTTTCGAGTAACCTTTGTGCGTATGTAGAGATATGAATGTTCACATAATATACGTATGCCCTAAAAACCATAATCATGTCATAGCAACATTTAATGCTCGAGAAATCTTACATGGTATGCGTATAAATTATATTTCTAAATACAAAATTTTAGCTCATTGTCACGATTTGATGTTAATAAAAATATCAGACTTTCTTTTATTTTTTTCAAATAATTTATATTTTTATGCTAAATGCCTTAACTAGGAAATAATATGAATATAAAAATAACAATTGATTGAAAATAATGTCAAAAAGTTCTCTAAAATTTAAGTCTGGACAATTACATAAGTATCAGTGATTTTGCTTTTTTGTTATTACCAAAAAATATTTGTGTTTATGTTTTTTGGTCGAACATGCGCAGGATCGACCCTAAAAAAAGTAGCTTTATGAAATAAGGCATCTCATCTGAATCATCGTTAGATTTTACTTCGGTAAGTGCCTCTATATGCAAGCACTTCTCTTACATTCTCATCTAACTTGAACCTTATATCACCCCTCCCCGCACAAAGGATTAGAAGATCAAAGACAATGTTTAATCTTCATCATTGAATAGTTTTTGGGTTTGTATTCTCCTCACATCTTTTTTAACCTCCTCATCTCATTATTATGAAGTCGACATCAATTAACATATTTAACATGTTATCAATCAGTTAGAAATAAAATATAATATTCGTTAAAATTTGTAAAATGGGTAACGCGTGGGTGTAGATTGCTTAAAAGATACAATCTCAAATTTCTTATAATTGTGAGCAAGGATACTGATATTTCATTTGAGATAATTGTGTAATGCTTTTAATAAAGTAGAAATGCATATGATTGAGCTTAATGGTAATCTATTATTGTAATTCGAATGTTAAAACACACTTGTGTTAATGGCTCTTGTGTCGTCTCGTACGAAGAATACTAGAAATATTCGAAATGCTATAAGTAAAGACTATTTCAAAGCGAATTATAAGTATGCGGTTTAATGATCGAGACGTTCGTTCTAATTGAGATGTAAACCATCGTGTGAATTGTGGAAACTGATTCATTTGAAGTCATTCCTTTGACTTCCTTATGTAAGTATATGTGCACGTTCAATAAAATCGCTATTAAGTGAATTGTTTAAATTATGCGAGCATTCTAATTTTAAAATTATTCCACTAATGCTCCCCATTAACATGCACTTCATTTACAGAAGATTACTTTGCGTGTATAAGTGGCAGAACTGTCTAATCAATTTAATATACATGTAATACATTACCAATTAATCTTCAAATGTCCTTTTTTGTAGAAGGAAAAAATTATGGCATCATGAAAAACTAGAGTTGTATTTTATTAGTTTCTTCATGTCTCTATAAAGATAGACGTAGAGCGCGCGTATATATCTATAGAAATTTAAGTTTTCCGAAAGAACATGAGTGGAGCGAGAAAAACGAGAAGTTATGCTTCAGATGTAGTCGCGCACGCTTTCCTCCTTCTTTACCTTTTCCTTCTCTTTCTCGTTTTTTTATTACAAAGCAAACAGCCAAGTCGGTTGGAAGTCATTATTGATGCCCCGAAGCAGGAGTAGCAGCAGTAGCAGCAAGAGGCGAGGCTTGAAGGGGGTACAGAAACGTGACTCAGCTCCCAAAAGTAATCGCAAAATTCCTTTTATCTCGAGTATTTTATCAAGAGCCTCTTCTCTACTATCTGCTCCTAGGACAATTGAAGTATCTACGTGGTCGTTCTTTTTAAAACGTATCCCATTTTTCACACTCGATATTACAACTGACATATCGCTCTCCATTACCTCATGGAGTGAGCGTAATTCTTGCTCCGCATATAGCTCACGCGAAATCTCAGCTTCCCTCCGTAAATAAACCGAAAGCCGAGTTACCCGCCGTTACGAAGCTCGTCTATTTCATCTTTTTGCTGGAGGTACAGTCGAAAATCTCTCGATTCGGAACTAGGAGCGAAATGGGGACTGCAGCAGGCGGATCGGAAATCACGCGTATCTCCTGCGCTCGTGAAGTCCTGGAGAACCGAGAGAATGCATCTATGCATGGAGCTGTGACGGGACGTCGGATGCATCTTGTTGAGGGTATCGTGAACGTGTGCGGTGACCGTTGACGAAACGGTACGCCCGAAACTCCCAGCACTCGGCTCAACAATCGGCAAATCCGATTCCATTATTTTCTTGCGAATTTTTTTCGACGTGGATTTTCCTACTCCAATTTTATGACTTTCTGGAAGAAGGCATTTCATTGAGTACAATTATCCATGTGTTCTTCTACTATTTTCTCATTGTCGTATGTTTTTTACTGATTTAATTGGCGCAAGTATAACATGCATTCTTGGGTGGATTTTTCTCAAATTTTTGTGTATGTAGGAGAGTGTCAGTACCAGTCAAACAAAGCATTGAGTTGAAAAATTTCAAAGCACCACATACTTTTGTATACAATTTGATACAAAAAGCTCGACGCAATAAAACATAGCCGCGTTTACAAAACTGCCGAGTGACACACTCCAAGTTTTCGTATTTTAGAGAAAACTTGGTGAATTTTCCACTTCTCAAACTGCACTCGCACACACAACAACAATGTAAGAATACATATATTTTTAAGATGCTCGTGCGGAATTGCTGCTGCTGAATTTTTGTACGAAATCATAGTGGTACTTGTGCGCGCGTATAATACACAGTGTATATAACGAGAGAGAGGCTAAAGCTCGCCGGATCAAAAAGTAAATCGTGAGATGATCTTCGAAGGCTGCAATAGCGTTATAACCTTTATAAAGCGTCTCGCAGTCAGTAGTACGACTAAATTTAAGTTCAATATTCTCGAGGAAAGTCCTCCTTCATCCCGATTTACACTATCGACTATTGCGTGCGCACTGGTTTGAATTTCATTTATCCTTGTGGCTTAATTCAGCCATAAAATTTTTTCAATTTTTCCAGTTCATCTATTGCAGTTTACAATAATTGCAATCGCAAGTCAGTGTTGAGGCAATTTATTTTTTATCAGCCCAGAAGATTCGGTTTAATATGGCAAGCATCCGATCATACAGCAGATAGTTAAACATCAATTAGCTCGTCCGCGCTTCAAACGATGAAATCTCCTCGTTCTTCTTCTTCTTCGTCTTCTTCTTCTTCTTCTTCTTCTTCTCAACTTCGAAAACAAGTTAACAAGTCTCATTATATAGTTCGTATAAGTATATGCCAGGCCGTTGAAAGCGTATATATCCCCAGCAAATATCGTTCATGTGGTTTCGCCTTGAGTTTCGAGTTATATATTACATTTAATTATAATTAAATTAATTCCAACCTTGCTTGATGTTACCTTATTCACGTGTGATCTTTTTATCGTGTTACACAAGTGGTAAGCCGTTGATTGGCATTGATGGATAGTTATCGCATAGAACTTATGATACTTCATCTAGGATTCTTTGCGAAACTCTAAAAACTGAGCATTTTGTGTTGTGAATCATAAAAATCGGGACTTGTATGACATTTAACTTATGACAGCGTTGCAAGTTATTTATATACACATGTTCTTATTCGATTTCTCGTATCATTTTCTTCATCTTATATTTATAATTACGATACGTAGTTGTATTAAATATCATTATCACCGTCTCCATGACTGTGCAGTAGAAAGTAGCTAATCTCAAGAGAATCTCTAGCGTGTTTCAAATTATGCAAGAGGGAAAAGAGGAAAAAAATGTATACACAGCCGAGAAAGAGAGAGAGAGAGACGAAAAGAAATAAAAAAGAAGAGACTTGAA